CCCCTAACTTGTGGACTTATAGTCCCCCTTAAGTAGATAGAATATGGCTTTGGGTATATCATAATAAGATCCCCATATACCCCATATTCTATCTACTTAAGGGGGGCTATAATCTTCGCACTATCCTCCAGGACCTCAAGCTCACTACATCACGTATGGAAAAAGAGGTCTTGCAGGATGTTTGTTCAGTACGCCCTAAACTCTAAACTGCCCTAAAACCTACCTAAATCCTCCAGTGTAGTACCTTTTTGGTAGTCCTAATAAGAGTCCTAACTAAAAAAACCATACCAAAGCCAATAAGGAACTACATTGGAGAGTCTAGGTAAGCCCTTAAACCCTAGTCCCACCAAAAACAAGCCCCTTGTACGCTAAGCCTTGAGCCGGAGGCTACCTACTCGACTATGGTAGGGTTTTCACACATGCAAGTGTATTACAATTACCAACATTCCCGAAAAAAAAACACTGTATGCACTCACCAAGGCTGACCATGAAATCCTACCTTACATACCTGGACCCCAAAAGTAGGTAAAATAATCCTGAATATAGCCCAAAAGGCCATTATTCTACATACTTTTGGGTTGAGGTAACCCTCATCCCTGCGAGCCACCATATCACCCAGTTTCCACTGGGTTTTTCATGTGTTTCTCCATGTGATGCTCCAGAAACCCTTACTGTAACCTGAAACCTCTACGCCCTAATCCCTAAACCCCTAAACCGCCACCCCGAAACCCTAAACCTTCAACACTAAACCCCTAAACGCTTAACCCTGAACCCCAAACCCTAAACCATAAAACCCTTCGGGCTAGCTCTTTGCTGCGCCTCTGCAATGAGCCACGCACACAAACCATTTCACCAGGCCTTGCTAGAATCATTGCCCCCAGGGCCCAAAGTATATACAGTATAGGGGTTTTAAGGCTTGGAGATTTAGGTTTAGGGTTGATGTTTGTCATTGGGAAAAGAGGGGGCTGAGGAACCCTCCCTTATGTGACTCTCGTATGCCAGGCAGTTAGGGTTGGGGTTCACTTGGAGATGTTAGCAACCTTTTGCAGGATTTTTGTGGGGATGTGTAGTAACCAAGGAGGATCTACCGCGATGTGGGGTTTAGGGTTCAGGGCGCTCAGGGTGTAGGATTTCGTTTCTTGTGCTTAGGGCTTATAGTGTTTATTTAAGGCTTCAGAACCTTAAGCCCTAACTCCGTACTTTCTGGTTTGGGGAACCCTTGAAAATGGCCAGTCGTGATTACCTTGGGGCTATATGCGTGGTAAGTATTGATATCTATTTGGGGTACGACTTCTGGGTCCCAGTCACATTGTTACCGCACCGTAACCTTAAACCCTAAACACTAACCCTAGAAGTCCAAAGTATATACTTATCACAGACTCCACAAACCTTGATAACGGTTCATAGCAGAAGCATCACAAAATATGAGCTATAGTCCAAACTCCCAGTATCTCCTTTAACACCTCTAAAAAGTACCCTTTTCTAACCCGTCTTTAAGCATTTTAGATTCAGACTATAGCTCATATGATTATTGTATAATGGACCCTCAGGGTAAGCAAAAACTAGGGTTAAAGGCTTCGGGCTTGGGACCGTACGCCCTAATCCCTTATCCCTACACGTTCCGACCCTTTGTCTTGCCGAAGCTGGGGGTCCATTTTCGTTGGCAAATGCAGGGATTTCGGGCCTTGGGACCTGGTTTTGGCGGACCTCAGATTTAGCAAAATTTGAAGTCCAGCTCTTGTTGAGAAAAACTGTCTGCGAACAAGTTTGCAAGTGCAGTGCTGAAGCTCCCACGAAGGCTAGACTTTCGGACAAATGCATGTTTAGAAGGTTGCTTTCAAGGGCACCCACGGAAGACAGTTCTTGGGCACTATGATTTTGAACAATTCGGAGACGTAGTGTTCAAGCTTCTCCAAAGCCCGAGGCTCTTCGAGCTGGTCACGGGTTCACACAAAGCTCATCTACGTTGTACGCAAGTTTCAAGCATCCTTGAAGATGCAAAAGCCAAGCGGTCACACGGCGAAGCTCATCCTTGTAGACGAAGCAGCAGCGGAAACGCTAGAGCGCACCAAGCATCCCAGCGACTCTGCTCGTCTGTTCAAACCTGTCTATCTAGAATCTACTGTCTAACCTTGCTATGAGGCATATCATGATTTCGGGTAACACCAGAGATGAGTAGTACTCAGGACTATCCAATCATACCCTAAGGGTCCAAGGACCCAAATAATAGGGTTTCAGGGCCCAAATACCATTAACATTATGGTATTTGGGCCCTAAAACCCTATTATTTGGGTCCCTGGACCCTTAGGGATATGGTTTATTCGGAGATCTGAACAGCAAGTGACTGCAGCCGCACTCCGAAAGAGTACAAGCGCCCCTTAGGACAAATGGACCTACGTCCCCCGAAACATGAAATCTCAGAGCACAGCGGCAGCCTTGTGCAAAAAGCGCGAAAATGATCCCCCCCCCAACCCCCCCCGGCCCACCCACAACCTTCGTAACTTAAACTATTCCGACGCAGAACAGAAAGGAAAGGATCACAATTCAAACTATATGTTCGACCCTCATGAACGTAATCAACCCCCCACCTCCCCTCAAACCTTCAAAACTGATATGATCCCTTCTGAAAACTGAATGGGAACGTTCACAATTCGAACTATATGCTCGACCCTCATGTGCAAAAGTCGGCATTACATGGGGTCGGAAGGCTAATCCCTATTCCCTAAACCGTAACCCCTACACACTACTTAAACCCTAGACCTAACCCTTAAGCCCTTAATCCTAAGCCCCCTTAAAATAAGACATAACCATTCCCTAGAAGCCCAGTTACCTATGTATTGGGTTCCTGTCCTTAAGTCCCTATGTAAATTTATACTATCTATAACCCAAGAACCTACTATATGGGCACCTGGGCTTCTAGGGAGTGTTAAGGGCTTGCGGCTTAGGATCGGGGTCACGGGTGTAGGGTCGACCTTGGGGCTCGGTGTTTGGGCTCGGGATGTACTATTGTCTTTAGAAAGTAAGGTTGAGGGTTTAGGATTTAGGGTGTGGGTTTTAGGATTTAGGGTGTGGAGTTTAGGGTTTAGGGTGTGGGGTTTAGGGCTTAGGGTCTTGCGTTTAGGGATTAAGGTTTTCCAGACCCCCTCAAGTCCCGTAAAATAGGGCCTATGTAGGTCCTATTTGTGGATACTTAGGATCTATAGAGGGTACTGGGGGGTCTATAATCCCCCTTAAATAGATAGAATATGGCTTTGGGTATATTTCAAAAAGATCCCCATATACCCCATATTCTATCTACTGAAGGGGGACTATAGGTTGTGCTTGGGGTGTAGGGCTTAGGGTTTAGTCTTTAAAGTCTGGACTTGGGGCCAATCGTCGTAGGAGATCGTGGCTCTCCTTTTGTTCTGCTTGCGTAGTAATGTGGGGGATTCCCAAAATGTGGGGTATCTTTTCAGGGGGGGTATAAAGTTTACGTAGGGTATATATTTAGGGTTTAGGGTTTGCCAAAATTAGGGCTAGATTTTTGGTGGTTTCTATAAGAAAGCTTGTAGTTATTCGGGGTCGATACTGGGGTCCCTCTATTGTGTGAAGCTACCATGTTGACTTCGCATGAATAACCCAATAACCCCAACCGCCCTCGTTTGATCTATCTCGATTTCGAGGGGCGGGATCATGTTGCCCAAAAATTCAAGTTGACAAAACCTATATCGCATCGATATGGAACCAAGTAAAATCTAACTCAAACCATTGTCCTGCAGAAGCTCATACTTTCCGGGAATATGACAATTACGGGTCTTATTACATGTGGGCCGGGTCCCTAACGAAGGTGAAGTCAACATTAGTTCCACGTCCGCCGTGTCCGCATCGACCCAAGTAATTCGTAGAGGGTCCGACTTCGCAATTCATGGGCTTAAACGACCCAAAGACTCTAATCCGAATGGTTTTTACCTGAACCCTAACCCTAACCGTCCATCATACTTAATCATATACGCTGGGATGCTTCTGCCGTTTTACATAGGCCCTGCACCCTAGGTGGCCCACTTTGTGTCGCAGTGGCGGAGCTCAAAAACAATGCCGATGCGGGGCATGATTTCGACCTGAGCTGTACACGGTTGTAGTGGTTAGGGCTTCATACAGCTTCTGCTTCAGGGTGGTTCAGATTTTGACTCCAGGTAACCCAATGACCATGTTATTGTAAAGGTATCCTTTTCGGTCAACTGTATGCACTAACCCCAAAAACACCAAACAAGGCAAGAGGGGACAGATGGAATTGGGTTATCTAACAGTACCAGCTATAGATTAGCTAAAACGCAAGCACGCTGAACCTCCAAATATGTGTTTGTGAGACTTTCTTCTCATCTGGGCGAGACCAAGAGTAGCTTTAATCCCGGCAGCGCACCCTACATCTAAAAGCAGTATCTCGGCCACCTTCCTGCACTTTGCTGACACGCAGTCGCATCCTCCAGTGGCTTAAAACTATTTCTCTGGTGTTAAGTCCCATCCCAACATATCCAGGATACGCTTGCAGACCGCCACTTATGACCATATGATTGGTTGCACGCATGGGTCACCCTAAACCCTAAATCCAAAACCCTAAACCCTAAACTTCAGGCTTGGGGCATAAGGCTGTTTGGCAAGTTAGGCGGTGCTCGAGCCTTCAGGCCCGACTGCTTGAAACACATCTGAGCTATAGCCTAAACTCCTACCTTAACCCCACAAATATGTGGAATAATTGCCCTTTGAGGCTGTTTTATGGGTTTCGGGCCATTATCCTACCTATTTTTGAGGCCCAGGTAATATTCCCCTTAATAACCTACACCCTCCCCCATATGATCCCCTACGAAACCCCCCCTTACAGGCCTTAGGCTATAGCTCATCTGGCGCTTTTAGCAAAGGAAGGCTACTGTACCCCAAACTGGTGATTCGGTAGGTAAAAGCCATACCTTAAGGGTCCAAGGGCTTTAGGGATCAAATTATTTGGGTCCTTGGACCCCTAGGCTATAGAACCCAAGAAGCCCATGAGCAAATCCTATACATCGCTGCAGAGGACCCCTGCCCTTTCAACCCCTAAGCTTGGGGAAAAGAAACGACTCCAAAGAACCGAGTGCAGCACTCGGCTAGGCAATTACCAGGAAAAGTAGTTGTGATGCTACTAGAAGCAGACACAATAACAGCCGTAGTGACCGCTTGCTTTGTCTTAGCTGCCTAGGACGAACTTAGATTTACAACATGGGCCGTCTGTCTACGCCTCGATACTCTATACACCCGAGCTTCTAAGCTTCACCACGGAATCTTTGTGTGAAATCTGGAACCTAATTCATGCGCACATAGCTGGCGACTGCTGTTGAAAAGCTGCGGCACACGGCGTAGGGTTTGAGTGGTGAAGGTTTTGGGCATTTGAAGGTTGGGATTTCAATGCCATAAGTTCTTTAGGGCTTCATAGACAGGATAGATAGAATGAGAATGATGCTTGATGTAGAACCTGAACCCTAAACCTTAAAACCTAAACATCTCAAAACTACCCCCTCCAGCTATGTCTTGGCTAAGGACCCGGGCCCCCCAACGACCCACAGGCTAGGTTTCGCCACTAAAACGACTCCAAAAAGGACCTCTTAGGTCCCACATAAGGTGCTTAATAGGATTTAGGGTTTAGAGTTTAGGGTTTAGGGGCTTAGATGCAGCACTTCATCATGATATTCGTCAGTTTTTCATAAGCTGTTATTTGTTCGATGTGCCTGGAAATGCTGCAATTCTTAGGCTTCGCTATGTGTTTAGCTTGGAGGCCGTTGTTTTTCATTTGTGCTGGAGGGACGTGGGTACGTCGCTCTTGCTGTGCAATCTTTTGCGAGGCTACCTCTATGGCAGCTACATCCCAATGGACTGCCGTTGTCCGATTGCATGCGCCTTTCAAATCCAGCGAGCAACGAACTGCACCCTCGAAATGAAGCTAAAGTCTACATGAGCCCTGGACTAAAGTCCTAGTTACGTGGACGGAAGGAGTCGGTCATTCAAAGGGTGAGACCGCCAGGTGGGTAGTCCAGTATATTCCTTAAACGGTCCCCCCTTAAACCCTATGCATTCCCCTATAGGTCCCCCCCACCGGGTACAGGAGAATGCACTTGTTCTTTATCATGGCTATTGTAATAAATATAGCATACCCATCTACAAGACTGTTCAATCAATTGCAATGACCTCCAGAAAGGCAGAAAGGGGCTGTGCAGTATCACCCCAGAAGAACTCACTGGCATGTTCCAAATGGTGGGTGCTGGGGCGAAGGTAATACATCTGAGGTTAGAAATATGGGCCCCGAATACGGGCCCTTAAGCCTTTCATTGGAATTCTAGGTACCCTTACGGGTACATATAGGGTACCCTAAGGGTCCAAGGACCCAAATAATAGAGTTTTGAAGGCCCAAGCCCTAAACCCTAAACCCTAAACTATTCATGGTATTTGGGCCTAAAACCCTATTATTTGGGTCCTTGGACCCTTATATAGTCTCTTAATATCCCTATATATCCTTCAAAAATCCCTTTAAAGGGACCCTACATTCCTTGGACCCTTATATAGTAGGTATGCATGGATGTCAGGGTCAAGGGCCCACTCTAGCGGTCCACGGCTTCAACCTAAGAGCCCAGATGCCGTGCTGAGGCTCGGGAAGTCCAGTTCTTCAGTGGCTCACTTCTAGGGACCTTTGGGAGGGACCCCTAATAGGGTTTAGGTTTAGGATTTAAGGTTTAGGGTATAGGGTTTAGGGTTTAGGAGGGACCCCTAATAGGGATCCTTAATCCCATTAACATATAGAATCCCGATACAGTCATTATATAACCCGTATATCCCTCGGCAGTCCACATATTAACTCCCATAAGCTACAAGGGTCCCTATTAGGGGTCCCTCCAAAAGTTCTTAGATCACTGGTGCTCAAGGGGCTTTGGGGGAGTGGCAAAACAGATGGAAACTGTTGTATTAGTTGGGGCTTAGATTTTGGGAGGGGTGGGAGTGGCAGAAACCCTAGCTCCAATGGAGGATTGTGTAGGAATCCATTCTCCAGTAGGATGCTGAGGCTACAGTCATCGGGTTTCTAACCGTCTGTGCCAACAAAGCCCGCAACCACAATCACAAACATGAAGTTTGGAGGAATCACAAACCTGAACTCCTCAATTCAACCCTAAAACCTGCATCCCAACCCAAGTACTCTGCAACGCATTTTTTCACTACTTTGAAGCTATCTCCTGCGCCCCCTCATCGGGGCGGAATACGTAGTTGGCATGAAGGTCCGAGTCCGCCTGTTTTGCCAAGGACTAACCCAGACCCGTGATTGATAAACCCCCTCCCCTTGCTAGGGGCTACAATACGGAGCCTAATATTCAGGCCCTCAAAAGGAGGGGGTTTATTAATCATGGATCTCCATCGTTTAGTAAGGTTTCGGGCTTGGGCTTGAGGGTTCAAGGTTTTCAGTTCAGGATTTGGTACTCCAGGTCCTGAGTCCGAAGTTTTATATAGGGATAATGGAAAATAAAATGGAAACTACTATAATGCGGTTAGGGTTTAGGGGATAATGGAAAAAAGGGGTTGTATTGGGGTTATATCGGGAAAATTGAGAAGAAATTAAAAACTACGATATGCTTTATAGAGTTGTATAGGGTTTAGGGTGAATGTGCGCAAGTCCCCTTCGTCCCTTGGAAATCCTAATATGCACAACAACTCATACAATCCCCATAAACCACTGTACAACACTAGTTTCCATTTCATTGTCCATTCCTTTGTTCCATTTGGTTCTCCATTATTCCTATATACCCCTATGTAGCTCAGATGGCATCTGTCATCAGGTCATGCATGTACCCCTACCCCCGTTGCAGCAAACCCCAAGAAACAGGAAACCAAGATTGTGGGGCAATGAGGTATCTGGTAGATGTGTGTGCAAACTGTTGGCATCACCAGCAACTTGCACATGACAAGCCGAACAGGCCGGTTTGGGCCTTCGCGCCTTACATAATATGTTTGTCACCGCTCATCTAGTCACGCTAAATGATTTCGCGGCCGTGTCATGAAACTGACTTCATCTTCACGTGAGGGAAGGTGTACAAGCTGCACGAACAATTGCCGCAGATTTGTGTGGATGGCCATGCTGGCTCAGATCGACTGTCTGGGCGATAGGGTGCTCCTTGCATGTGTCTGGTGAAGGTATTTCCGTCAGCCGTGTGACAAATAAAGCGGACATGATGAATGCCTACCAAACTGGTTGTTAAGCTGTCAAAATATTGAAGCTGTTGACGAGGTTTCTGTGACCAAAGTGTTTCCAACTTATTGCGCATATGTCTGCCTGTCCTTGTTAACAGGAAGCCTGTACGCATACGCCACCAACCCATGCGGAACCAAGCAAGCTTAGCAAATGCAGCACTTACAACACATGAGAGAATTGGTTGAGGACAGTTTGAAGAATTTGAAATGCAATGGCACATGCGCCTGAAGGTCTATGAGAAATTTCTTCAAGTCTCGCCCCTACAATTCCAGCCATGCGACGTTCCTGTGCTGCAAACCTGTCGAAGAATATCTTTATGCCCCCGTATGTTAGGCTTGTATGGATATTGTTACGGAGACCGGAACCTTGAGTGCATCTTATCGTGAAAGCTGCATACATAGCCCAGGGGTCCATGTACTCATAGCTGCGTAATCGGAAATCGGAATACAAGTTTTATGGAAAAGAATGAAATCTGAGCACTGGAACATGAGGGACAGACATGCATAGAGAGCCTCACCCTGAGACATATTGGTCTGGGATTGAATGTCTATAGGTTGATCCAAGCAACCCTCATACAAAATACGCGTACAATAAATCTCAACACACCTCCCTAATCCCTGAACCCTAAACTGAAACGGAGTGGGGGCCAGCATGGTAAATAGTTCTATCCTCGCATGTTCCTGTAATTCCCTTGCACCATTTGCTCAAACTTGTCCCCCTTAAGTAGATAGAATATGGCTTTGAGTATGTTGTAATAACATCCCCATCTTGTCACCCAATTCAGGGTTGAAAGTGGGCTTAGGATTTAAGATTTGGGGTTTAAAGCTTTGGACGTTGAAGGGGGTAGAT